GGGGTGTGGGAATTGTTGGGGCTTTTGTAGAGTTGGCATAAATAACTAGCAACTGGGAGACAATTGATTTTTGAGGCCATGAGGACTTATAGTAGCATGACTACAAAAAGTTTTTGCTCACCTTCATAGCTATGTAGAATATATATATTTTATAAAGATATTGCTAGTACTTGGCAGAAATATGCAACGCATGACGTTCAGGAGGAAGGATATGAATATTTGGCCGATTAAAACCGAACAAAACCCCAGCAAACCCAAACAAAAAAACTTACTGTTGTGTTACTCTTCTCTAGTTCTCTAGCCTTCCTTCTTCATTCTGTTTTGCTGCTTATTTGTAATATTTTCTGTTCTCTTTATTCTCTGTAACACTTTTGTGTTACTGATTTTTACCTTTCAAAGTAAGTTTGTAACAAGAGCAGGATTTTTCTTAAAATACTGTTTTGTCTTAGAAGTAGAATAAAGCATCGTTAAATGTTCACGTATCTGTATAGTATCCATAGGAATCAGAAAATGACAACGTAGCATTTGATTATGACCAATGATGATTCATAACAAAGCTGTTGCCTTCTTTAAGTCTTCTGGATTGCTTGACTTAATTTAAAATTAAAAATTTAGTTGACTTTCTTTTTTCTTTTAGGGATGAGTTCTAAAAATGCTTTTTTTTCCCCACATGTTTTTGTACACAAAAGTCAGTTGGCTGGAGAAGCTGAGGAAGATTCCTGATTGTGTAAGGGGATGGGGAAATGAGGTGAAAGAGCATGTGTCTCGCAGTCTTCCTTTCCAAGGTGGTGTGATTAAATTTGATCAGCTTGTGTAAAGCTGATTGCTTATGGCTTGCATGGAGTGTTCTTAAAAATATCAGTAGCAAAATCTGACTTGATCTTATAGTAGTGATATTCCAAACAGATGCTGAAAGCCAGTCCTCACTGAAGAGTTTGGCTAAGCTCTCAGTGTTCTACTTACTTTTTTGAAAAATGTTGAACTTACATGTAAATTTGGAATGGGCATCAGTAAGCTTTGTAATATATTTTACTATGTATGCTTGACAGTTTAAATGAATGTTTTTTGTTGGATTCCAAATCTGTATGTGACTGGCAAAAAGAATTTATTCCTTCTAACTTAAGCTGATTTCAGCATGGTCTTTAGTGCTGTGCATTTAATTGACCAAGTATTCTAGAAAATGTCTGGAGTACTTTTGCATTTATTTTTAAATGCCAAAGTTTTAGCAGTCAAAATTTTCATGCCACTTCTTGGCAATGGAAATCTTTGCCTTCCACTTCCTGTTGAGTTTTCTATTGTGTTGGAAAAGGATGAGCTTCAGATTTTCCTAATGTAGATACTAAAATGTTCTACAAGGATTTTCTGCTACTTTTACTTGCAAACCAATTTCTTTTTAGGCTGTCTTCACCATGCAAATGGAAATGTTTTAATATTGCTTCATGAATGAAGTTAACTAGCAGAAGTGCTCGTATAGTGAAGTAAACTGCATCTAGGCTTTAGTCATCTCTGTGCAGAAACATCAAAGAAAATCACATTCTTAACTGACGTTACTCCATCTGGTTTCTAGTGAAGATCTGACGGTTTGAAATCATAGCAGAAGCTAGAATTTTGAACTGCTATTGTGGTCACACCTTGTTTCATTTATACTCCTTTTCATCCTGTGAGTTTTAGAGTACAGCTTGGTAGCGAATTCTTACAGCAGCTATAAGGCAGTGTCATTCTTGCCTGAAAGTGTAATGCTGTTGGCAACTTGCCAGTGAGTGCTTATAAATGGCTCTAAGGGTCTTACAGCTTTTTCTCTTTGCTTTCTGATTGTCTTTTTTTTTTTTTTTTTTTTTTCACTTACCTATTCTTTGCTGCCCAGTGTATATCAAAGAATTTCCCATTTGGCTAGAAGCAGCTTGTTCCTTAACCACTGTTGTATTACATATGTGTGATCTTCTTTGGTTGTTGAAAAAAAACCTAAAAAAACCCAAATAAGCAATAATAACACCTGTCTTAGTAAGTATGTGTATAATCCTTTATAATGTCTGACCTCTGCATTCTAGTAAAAATATCTCTCTTCTGACTAATTTCTGAATGCTTGTCTTTATTGTCCAGGATTGAGGAAGTATGCATCTGCTTAAATGACTGATTATAAAATAACGTCCTTTTCTGCCAAGCTATGTAAATTTATTTAAGAATCTGCATGTCAAGTAGCTGTTTAAGTGATTTTTCTTTATTAATATATCTGCTTGGTCAGTCTGGTTTGACTAATTGACTAAAATGGATTTTTTTAGTAAGAGGGGAAGTTATCTTTCATTATCTGATATGTTGCTTGTCCATAGAGTCAGAAATTAGACATTTATTCCAGATACTAATTGGCAATCTTTTCTGGGGTTGATGCAATCACTTCTATTAAGTTGGAATTTATTTTAAGTGAAGAATCTTAATTGGTATTGCTTTTTATAGATAGTGGTTAGCACTGCTTGGCATTCTTGTCTGTTCAGTGATGTATGCATGGCTTTGCTCAAACAAATGATTTCCAGTTGTGAAATGTTCAAGGACAGTATAGCTGTATTTATATTTTTACATTTGAGTGATGGATTTGAGATAGGAGAATGAACAACCATATTTCTAGACAGGGCATTAGCATTGTGTAATTGCAGGTATCAAATTTAGTGTCCAAGCAGGAGCACTTTGTCATGTGCTGGAGGCGTCATTGATCACATTGAATCTATTTCAGGCATTGGAATTAGGTACATGAACATAGATACTTGAAAGCTTCTTTTTCACCCTGCTACTGCTTCCCCTTGATATTTGCCTTACACTTGAAAATGATGCTTTCAAAGGAGGGAGATTATATAATCCAGTATATAAGTAATGATTATTTAAAATTATTTACAGTACATGCAGCAAACATTTCTGCCACCAATAGCAACAAGCGATTACAGCTCGATTGTTATTTTCCCAGTTAGAATATATGGCTTTTGGGCCATAGGAACGTGAACATACAAATGGTATCACAAATACCATTTTACAAAAATACTATAAAAGATATTTTTATGGTTAGAATTTGTTCTTATCTCAAGTCTTCGCTGATTCAATCTTGCAAAACATCAGTCAGGTAATAGAAGCGTTTTGGATTCAGAGTGTTAGGGAGGGACAAAACCAGAAGCACCTGAGTGGTTCTTTTCCTGTGCAGTAGTGGTTGAAAATAGCTTCTGTGAAAGGTGGGTAAAGATCTGAATTGGTAGTATACGGTAGATATGAAAAGTAAAGAAAATTAAATATTTAAATAAACTTGAAATGCAAAGCTTTGGATATTTATAATACCTACATTGATGGAACTTTAATGGAATTTTGTCTGCAGCTGCATGTAGATCACACAATGAAGTTTTTTTGAAATAATGTAATAAAACCATGTCTGTGTTTTTGGAAGCTTTCTTTTAGCAAGCCTTTATGTTGTTCTCTTCTTATTAAATAGTTCAGTCTCAATATCTGTAAGAGAGGAAAAACTGAATTCTTAACCTTTCTACTTCACAAGAATTTGTAGAGGTGGTACATGTAGATGCTTTAAGAGGCAAGATTATCTGAAAGAAACACTTTTTAGTGAGTGAATGATAAGGTATGGGGAAGTGCCGTACAGTTTTCTGAAGACGATTTCTTGATTCTCTATCTTTTCCTTTTAAAAAATGAATTTTTAACTTTGGAGTTCAACTATTCCTTGCATAGTATCCAGCATAAACTATTACATTGAGAATTTTTATTTTGTTTTATTAATGTTCTCTAAGATGAATGCCAATTATATTTTACATAAATATGATGGATTTTGGTACTCATTGATTTTTAAAGCAACAATTAATGCATTTTAAAGACTGTTCTATGTTGGTTTTCAGTTTTTTCCTCTCAGGCTAGCAATGGTGAATCAAGTAGTGATGAAACTAGTAATCAGTGCAGTCCCACAGTACGAAAACGTCGGGCTAAGAAGAGGCTGATCTCTAGCTCCGAGGTTGAGGGTGGGTCACCGGCTGAACCAGAGTCTGAACCTCCCAGAGCAGAGCAGCACAAACGCCAGTTCAGTAGTGGCCTTAACAGATGCATCATATTAGCTTTGGTGATTGCAATCAGCATGGGCTTTGGACACTTCTATGGTGAGTTTATAGAAAACATAATACAGAGAATCAACATCTTGCATTACAACTACCATTTTATTGTGCCTCTGATTTATTTTTTTTTTTTTGTTCTCCACTAACAATCTAAACCTAAAAATGAGAAAAAGCAACTGCTAATGTATGGATAATACAGGGAGGCCCTTCAGCGGTGCAGTTGTGTTTAGTACACACTACATTAATTTTAAAGTAAATGAAAGAAATTAATTTTTTGTTGCCCTTCCAGATAGAAATTTCTTGTTGTTCTCATAATGTACTGTGTACCCTTCATTTTTCACATCTTTTCTTTTGAAATAAATTTGTGGTAGTGCTTACCATTCCTAACAGCATTCAGAGTGTTATTTCAGGCTTTTGTCTTATATGTACTCCTCTGGTAAATGTAAGAGCAAGGCATGTTTTTTACAGGAGTTCATAGTATCAATGTTTTTCTCTGTCTGTGGAGAAAAATACGCTGTAGTTGTCCTTGCAATTCCAGAGTGGTTTCAGGGATCCAGGATAGCAGCAATTTTTCTGTGTTCAGTGCATTGCCTAAATTTAAGCAGATTGTTACTACATTTAACAAAACAGCAGAACTCATTGCAGATCTAAATCTATGTAGTGCAATCCTGATCTTCTCAGATACATGTATTATGATAAAAATTATAGAGGGCATTTATTTTTAATAGTAATTTTTCCTGAGTAGTTTTAGTTTTATATGAAAATGTGCCTTCATAAGAAGACTTGTGATTCAGTTTGAGACTGGGAATATGATTTTGATTGGATTTGATCTTGATTGTTAGGGGTCTAAATTTTGATGTATGTTTTGAGATGTATACTGATTTTCACTTGACCCTGGTATTGTTTTGTTCTTAGGTAAACCTGAAGGTAAGAGTCATGAATGATGTATTGTGGATGCTGTGCTTGCATTCAGATTTACTTTTTAAATTATGTGTATGTGTATGCACACATCCATATATGTATGCATACTTATATTTACAAAAAAAACAATCAAGTCTTAAGAATTACTAGTGTATGCAGGATCATAGGGATGACTAATCCAGTCATGTGAAATACTTTTTATTTAGTAGCTGCAGCTAGTAGGAGCTGGTGTAAAAACTGATTGATGTACATTGGCATGCTAGAAGCAGAGAGGAGCACAATGACTAGACCAGTCTTTGATAGTGCTTTGTGGTGGTAACTTGAGGTTTCAGTTCTGTTAATCATTTTACTGTGTTCAAATTGGGGTTAATGATAAATACTATCCTTTTGAAGAACCGTGAGATCTATGGATGAAAAATACATTTTGGAAATGTACTCAGTGTCATATCTTTATCTTTATTAAGGGATTCACTTCGACTTTTTCATTCATTGAATCTGTACTTCTAAATAAAAATTGTCATCACTGATGACAGTGATGAGAGCATTCTCAGCAGAAAGAATGCAACTCTGTTGCTTTAGTTTTTCTTCTTCAAGTGAAAGTTCTTCATGGTTATGTGATAACTAATCTTTCTACCACTAGAAAGGGAATCAAACCCTGCTTTCCAGCTTCCTGCTTTTTGTTGTTTGGTTTTTTTTTTTTTTTTTCTTTTTTATACACAGACTTGCAGAGAAATACATCTTACTAGAGGACTACTGTGTATTTTTGTGATTCAGCTTGGAATGAATGTTTTCCACAGTAGTCTTTTAATGCTAAGCTAATTGTTGTGTAAGAGGATTGGAAAGGGTTACTTTTTTTGAAATTATTTTTGGATCAGTATCAGGATAGTGTTTTCCCTTTAGCTAGAGCTCCAGGACCCCTTTAATACTTTTAAAGATGTAGAAGGCAACTAGGTTTAGGTTTTAATCAATAACTGTATCCTAATCAGTATTAAACTGAATTAGTTGGCTTTATGATGCTCTAGGAAGGAGATCTGAAAGAGGGCAAGCTTTCCAGGAAAATAGGTAACTGGAAAAGCTAAAGTTAGGAATCGCTTGCCAGAAGAACATTCTTATGGACATTCAGATATTTAATTTTTTTTTTCTTTTAACCAGAATCTGCAAAAGGGAATACTGCTGTAATGCTAGGGATTTGGATAGATTACTTAAAGAATCTGAAGGATATTGTGACTCAGAATACCAGCTGGAAACACAAACCAATTACTGAAGAATGGCACCTCATTACATGCATTTTCAGAGTCTTTACTACCCTTTCTGTGTTGCTAAATGTCATTTTTGCTTACTGTATCTAAATTATGATTCTTGAGAAGGACAGAAACAGAGTTTTAATTGTTTTTCTGTAATTCAAGTTCCTCTTAACATGAACCCTTTACACTAAATAATGACTTTTCAGATGCAGTCTTTGGATTCTCAGGATCAATGGACTTCTTCAAAAGTATCTATAAAACATAAATATGAAAAACAAGTTTACTGTCAGTATACTTAAATTCACTTATGCGAGGATCTGTGCTTCCCATAAGTGTTTATTAGGACTCTGCAAACTTAAAATCATTATTGTAAAAACAATCCTTTCCCTTAGCTGAATTGAACTATTGAGTTTCAACTTGGTTTAATAGAGCACTGTCTGGTTTTAAGTTCATGCTTGACAATGCATTAAATAGAAATTAAAGGAGCACAAAAAAATTCCTCAGTGTAGTAGTATTTATAGAATTTCTTCTGTTTAATAATACATCTATCTCCCTTGCCTTTAAATACAGAAGTAGAACTCTGCATATGCTGCATTGGTTTTGAAAGAAATACCTAAAACTTGCTGTTGCCATCTGCTATAGAGTCAATTCAAGAGAATCTTAAAAGCAAAGAAATAAAAACTACATCAGTGTTAGGATTTACAGAACATGTCTATAGGTAGGGAAGTATCAGTAAAGAAGTCTTACTTGATGGCGAAAAAATTGGTGGCTAGTACAATGAAGACATTTTTTGGGGAAAAAATAGTGTGTCTCAGCCTTTATCTGACAGTGCAAAGACAGGATACTTGCTTACTCTTCAGCCTTCACTCATGGATAAGAATGACAAGATAGGGCTTGCAAATACTTGCTGCTTTGTGAGCAGTGTGTAATAGTTGTGTTCCTGCGTAAAAGTTTAAATACTGCACTAATATCCTCTTATTCATGTAACTTTACTTAACAGTGAAAGTTGTAGTTCTGAAATGGATAATGCATGGACTAATGATCTCCCTTTTATCCTGGTTAGCTTGCATGTTACTAAAAAAATTACAAAGTCACACATACCCTTTTCTGCATAACTTTTGTTGTTTTATATCTAACTTATTTCTATGTAGTGTTCCAAAATTCCTTCATTTGTTAACATCAAAGACAGTGTAATAGTGAATTTTTGGATCTGTCTGTGAAATTGTTCATCATTGGAAGAAACAGAATAGGTATGTACCAGTCTGGTCTTATAATCTTTATTTTGTTACAGCTAAACAGTTACTAGTAAGTACTGGGCAGAAATTGCAAGGTAAGAACGCTTTTGAATTTGCAGAGAAAATAAAAATTATGTTTAGGTTCGTCTGTTCCTCTGACTACTTAATGTAAGTCAGACTATCAAAAGAAAGTTTTTTTTTTTTTTTTTTTGTCTTTGTAGGTACAATACAGATCCAGAAACGTCAGCAGCTGGTGACAAAGACACGTGAATTAAAAGATATGAAAGATGACCTTTACCAGTGCCAACAAGAGCAAGGAGATAAAGTGCATCATAAAGTGGGGGTAGGTATGAGTTTAGCTTGAAATCATTGGGTTATTCTGTCATTGTGTGAATTTACACGAAGTGAAATTTATCACACAAATCCATTACATTTTTCTTCTTTAGTAAGTTCTTTCTGACAATGTCACATTTTCTTTCCCCCAAATTCTTGTATTTTGATCAAAGTTGTTACTGGAATGTGTTTAAACATACTGGTTTTTATGTATGTAGTCTAGGAGTTATCTGGACACAGAGACTGTCTCTTTCCTGTGACATAATGCCAGGTTGTCATTAATGAAGACAGCTGAAGTAGAACATGCTGGTAAAAACCTATTATAGGTTGAACCTACAGGTTTTATGAATTTGCTTTCTAAATTGTTAATTGTTATTAATTTTCAAAATACTTAATCTGTACTTTTAGGTTTTTACTGTTAGATCATTCAGAGAGAAGATGAGGGAGTGCTTTGTGTGTGCATGTCTTTTTTTTTAAGTTTTCTTTTATATTGCTGATAGCAGTATTTATACATAATTCAGCATGTTTAGTCCTAGAGTTTGTCAAGGATGCCAAGAGACTGGGGAGATCCTTTTGTGTTAGGATATAGTTACATGAACACATATTTTCAGCAACAAATTGGGTTCAAAATCAATTCCTGAATTTCTTCCCCAACTGTTGAGTGCCCGTGCTTCTGCTAACATATTTGGTTTTGTAGTATGTAAACCCAATTTGCTGAACATAAATCAACAGCAAACCTGCAGATTTTCATTTCCTTTTAAGATTACAATTCAAGTACCCAGTTTACTATCTTTCAGCTCGTTAAACCTATGCAAGTGAGGGGTGATGACCTCTGGTTGGAAGGGGGAGCCTCTCACATGGTCTTTGTTGCCAAGAAAGTGTTTGTGTGTGTATCTGAGATAAACAAACCAGCTCTATTTTTGCATCTTGCTGCAACATGTGTCACTGCATCCAAAATGACAAGTAAACTCTGTCTGGGCTACCTTGGTCTTTCACCTTTCTAGCTGAAATTGTAACAATTCTAATTGTAGTAATTTTGCTGGTTTTCTTTTTGTTTGTATTAGTCACTCAAGGGAGATATTGCCACATGTTTGACCTCTACTGAGGTGGAGAAGAAATCCTTTGAATCTCAAAAAAAAAGTCTTGCTGCAGAAAATCAGCACTTAAGAGAATCTCTAGAGAAGGAGGAAAAAGCTTTGGCCTCACTTCAGGAGGAATTAAGGAAGCTAAGACAACAAATTAGAAACTTAGAAGATAAAGGGACTAGCACGGAGTCTATTGTAATGGAAAATCAGAAACTAAGGGAACATTTGGAAGAGGAAAAGCAGAGAAACCACAACTTTCTTAGGCAAAAGGAAACACTCTTTGCAGAGGCACAGATGTTAAGGAGAGAACTGGACAAAGAACGTCATGTTACAGAAGCTCTAAAAAAAGAACTGGAACAGTTAAGTTCTCGTCAAACACCTGACAATGCTAATGATGATGATACATTAAGAGAAAATCAAGAAATAGAAACTCTGCGAGGAAGGCTAGTAGAACTAGAAAAAAAGCTAAACTTTGAGCAACAACGCTCTGATTTATGGGAGAAGCTGTATGTTGAAGCAAAAGACCAAACTGAAAAACAAGAAACGAATGAAAAGGGACAAAAGAAAGGTGCTAAAGGGCAAAGTAAGACTAAAAAGAAATCAAAGGAATCATTTTTTGGTTCGGTTAAAGAAACTTTTGATGCTATGAAAAATTCCACAAAAGAATTTGTAAGACACCATAAAGAAAAGATTAAACAAGCCAAAGAAGCAGTGAAAGAAAACCTGAAAAAATTCTCTGATTCTGTAAAGTCTACATTCAGACACTTCAAAGATACCACAAAAAACATCTTTGATGAAAAGAAGAAGTCAAATGATAGAAGACATGAGGCAAACAAGAAAGCTCGAACTTTTTACCGAGAACATAACTCTTATGAGAATCTGAAGCACATGCATTACAGAGGACCTAACATGCCAAAAGAATTCAAAGATGGAAGAAGACATCAGTTCACAACATTTGAAAAAGATACAGATTCACAGAGATGTCTTGGTGATCCTTTGTGTAATAGAAAACATCAGTTTGTCCTAAAGGGCTGCTCTGGTATTTTTGAATGTGCTCATCAAGAATTCATTAGTCTCTTTAACAGAGTATCAGATCCTATCAGAGTGGATGAATTTAATCGGCTAATGAAAAAGTATTTGCAACAAGTTGTACGTAACTTTCATCACTGGAGAGAACTAGAAAATTTCATCAATAAGTTTTTTCATAATGGGGTATTTATACATGACCAGATGTTGTTCACTGATTTTGTTAATGATGTCAAGGATTACCTGGAAGATATGAAGGAATACCAAAATAAGAACGAAAAGGTTTTTGATGATTTGGACAAATACATCTACAGATACTACTTTCATTATGATAATTCACCCCAATATGGACCCAGGTTTGTTCCCAAGTTTCCTGAACTTGTTAACACAATGAATTAGCCTTTGTAAAGACTAGTGTCCTTGTTCTAATAGGTGATCTTCTAGTGTGTATGTATATGTCTATATATATTTATATATACACGCTAGAAGACTTTCTGAAGGACTCAAGGGAAATACTAGACTGTGTTATGTAAAGTGGATCTGTAGTACCTTATATATAAATTTTATGTGTGTGATGTTAGTTTGGTAGGCACTGCAGATCCTGTAGGATGTTTGGCAAACACTGCAGATCCATTGTACATAGTACAATCTAGTATTTCTACTGAGTTCTTTAGAAAACTGTTTAACTGCAAGTAGGATTACTTTAGACTGAACAGCTATGGTTGGCTGTCTGATGGAATAAATAACTATCTCAGAAGAAGCATTAATTAGGATTTCCTTGTTGTCCTTCTCTGAATGAGGAGGGTTTTGGATGTATTTGAACAGTCTCAAGATCCTTTCTGGCAGGTGTATTCCCTGCTGGCTTTTCAGGAATTTTATTATTCTCTTGTAGCTTAGTATAATACTGAGTTAGTCTGTATGCCCAGAGCAGAGCTACTCAAATGGCAGGCTTTAGTTCGGATACTAACCTTAACTGAATTCTACAGACTTGCTTACAAAGGTCTTTAGCGTGAATTGTTTCTACGTTACTTTTCTGTATCTAATGGTGTTCTCAGGGCTTCTACAGTGCAGTTGTGGCGTGCTGCCTGGCTGGCCCAATGGAGCTAGAGATGGTGGACTTTTCTACTGCATAGACTTTGGTGAAAGAAAATATAAGCAAGCAGCCTTAATATATTGTGTGGAACTTGCTCTTTCTGTTACACTTACATATATATTTTATGTGGCTTTTAATATCATTGCTGTTAGAAAATTGACTATATAGTCTCTTGTGCTAATGATTATTCTCATGAGGTAAGAAAACGTGATATATTAACTAATTTATAATACACAAGAAGTTTTCCCTGTGCTGGTATACAGTGCAAAGCATATTTAGATCAAGGTGTAGTTCTTCAGTCAGGTTTCTTTTGGACTTGTATTTTTTTTTTAATTATTATTTCATGTGTCTTTTTTTAGGAATTCTGAATACTTAACTATTTTAGGATTACTAAATATTATGTGAGGTAGTACTCTCTCTTATTAAAAGTTGAACTGTGAGAATGATACTCCTATTATCAGCTACCAAGTAGCTTTTTCAATGTGTAGTTTTGACAAACACATGACATAAGTTTTATGGTTTTATTTATAGTTGGAAGTACTTCTTACTAATTTATTATTAACTTTAATTTTTAATGAATTTAAACACTTAATTTTTGAGCACTTTAATTCAGCTTGCAGAAAAACAGAATTTCAAATTCATTTACTGATAGTATTATACAGAAGTTTGTATGATACTGGGGATGAAAATAGCTTAGCAGAAGGCTAGAGATGCTAGTCATGGGATAACAGCATGTAGTATAATGGGACTGTTTACATCAAAAACTGCAACAGGTGAGCAAGTGTTTTGTCAGTGCTCCCTGTCTTTGTATAAACGTATTTATTGTACATGAAAACCTCTGAAGTGCCCGTGTTTACACAAAGCATGCTTTCCTAAGGGTCTGTAAAGTTTTCATTATTTTTGTAGAGCAGAATGTAATAGAATAACTGAAAAATAGATTGAGCATCGAGCTCGAGCATCACAATAGGGATAATCAAACAGCTCTTTAGCTGGCTTTATTCTGAAAAGAACTTTGGGCAACCAGCTGCAGAGCATTTTTATTTTTAGAAAGGATTTCTTTTAAATATACCATCTTATTGATGATTTAAACAAACAAATAACCCCCCTTTTGCTTACAAGAGAAAGGACTACTTAACACTAATTTTGTTTTCAGTCAACCTCAGCATGTTAAAAGCTGTTCTTGACAATGTAATTGTGTTTCAAAGTGCTTTTAGAGAGATGCTTTTGTAAGAGTAGTAATAAGCTTTTGTTTACTCCTTGCAGTCGACCTAAAAGGCCTTCTTTTACACAAACTGAAAATTCCAGACATGAAAAACAAGCTCAGAAGTACCACCACCGTAATAAAAGAGAAGGTAAATGGCATAAACATGGTCGCAGTAATGGAAGACACATGGCAAATCTTGAAATAGAATTGGGGCAATTACCCTTTGATCCAAAATACTGAGTAATTTATGGTAAAAATAAGATTAGAATTCACATCCTCTCCAGAAACTAATTGTTTTTCAACAAAGCAGCAAGATGCAAGTTTTTTCTCTAAATTTAGATTTTTACACATTTTTGTTAAAAGGCAGAAGTCAGGCTTTCTAATTTGCATATTCTGTACTGTTGCTTTAACTGTTCTTTGGAAGTCATTATAGTTTGGGTGCCAGCACTATTGTTGCAGAAACTAGGCATGCAATGACTTGTGTATGAAAACATATGCTTAATTGCATTCCATTAGTGTAGTTCAAGCTTGAGTCATGCATAATGTACCAATAATTAACTCCAATGTTTGATATACTAACTTCATCTCATCCTTCAAAAAATAGGTCTACGTTATGGTAATGTATTTGTTAGTGTTTTGTAATCTTATACTTGCTTCTTGTCTTTGGGGGTGTGGGGGGTGTGTGTGTCAAAAGCCTGTTGAATTGTAAAGAATTTGCTGTGCTGCATTCTAATCAGCTTGCTGATTTAAGCACTTAATGTCTTGCGTATCTGCATATTGTAGAAGAAAAATAAAGAGACATTGTGAGTAAAAGTCTTTATTTATAAACCAAACCTAGCATAGCTCTACAGTTCTATAAAAATGGTCCAGTCTTGTCTAATTTCTTACTGTTTGAATAGTCATGTGGTAACTTTGGTCTTCCTGATGTTCTCTAGTGTTGTAAGGTAGGTCGACACCCCCACCCTCTCATACTGCTACTGAAGTTGCCTTCAGGAAGAGGTTTATGTGTTTAGGCAGCCAGTGGCTGTCTGGAATCAGACTTACCCGGTTTCAGACTCACTACTCTCTCCTTTCAGCAGTACAAGATCTTATAAGCATAGTACTGCTATGCAAAACTGATCTCATTAGGTCTTAAGTCTAGAAACTGATCTTCAGGTATGACTCATTCCAGTTTTTTTCCTGTAGATGTAGATGTGGCTCCCAACTCGTCCTTGGGGTACATGAGTGTGAAAGACAGTAGCTGTTTTCTCATAGCCCCTTAAAGCTAAAAATGATGATATTTCCTGTAAATGAACATAGATTAGTTTCCACAGTCAGAAAGTGCAGTTGGGAGCATCAGAACTGTGTTCCAAAGTCTTCCGAAAACCATCAGTTCAACTGTCCCCTGGAAGTTTTATCCTTTATTTTAGGAAAGACTGCTAGAAAAAGAGGTACCTATCGCGTTTGATCCTGTCCAGAGTGGATATTCACCAGACACCATTGTTTGAGTACGTGGACTTCATAAAAGAATTGAGGGGAAAAGGTACTCTGCAGGGATTTTTGCCTGTCATGGTTGCTTACTTAAAAGTGTATGGTTCTGGGAACAGACCACACATTTGTTTTAATATGGCTTGAGGAGAATTCCATAAAACATTACTTTATGGCATGTAGAACTTGCACACAGGAGAAGGCATACATGAATGTTACGTATGTATCACGGGAATGGTATCTATACTATATTATGGACTAGAGGGTTCAATTTTAACTTAAGCTATGTTTTAAAAAACTGTGGACAACAACTTTCAAAAATCTTAACTATAACTCTCCCCTAATTTATTTTGTAACTTGACATCAAAACTAGTTTGTTTCATGTTGCAGTTACCATACCTGTTCTAGCACACTGAAGATGATCAAGTGACTGGGTAATAACGTATCGTTGTAAAACTCCTTATTAAGCCAGCCAAGTGGATTAGAGTAAAATACATCTGCTTCATCAATATAGCTCTCATTTCCACTTAGGTCTGGGGGACACTGAAGGAATCTCATTTTTAGAGGACAGTGGACATGACTAGGGAGAAAAACAAAACAAACATTTCAGGATAAAGTGACCAGTATGTAAGATTTGAAAGATACCTCAGTCAAAACCAAAATTGAATAATTAGGCTTTTTCCCCCACAGTAATATTTTCTTCCCGTCTGTACTTCATATGAAAGTGAAAGTAGGACAAGCAGCTTCACCTCTACACTGCTATGACTGTGTTAGGAGTTCACAGAAAGCAGATTTATCTTACAAAAAAACCCCCAAACATCTGTGTAACATCAGTTTCTTAAAAAGGTACTTTTCTGTATCAGCCTCACTGTTTGTATCTGCTTTAATGTTTTGTTTACTTGCCAGGATCTATTGAAACTTTCTGGAGTAGTGGCCTCAGCCATTGTATGTTGTAATTACATTTCTTTACTCTGTAGCAGCAGAAGTAAAGGTAAAATTAATACAGTTTGGCTGTAACAATTAGTCTTTAGTTTTGCTACAAAAGTTACCATAATGAAGCAGTATGACTTACGTTCAGAAGTCCTAAGACTTACTGCCTATCCTCATACAAAGCTATTTTAACAAAAACTGAATAAAGCTTAGATGCTGAATTTTATTCTGTGGTATAAGCATTTGGCTTATTTCCCCTATTCATTCTGTATTAACTGTATGAAAAGGCAAAACTCTTCCTGTATGTTTATCCGTCTCAATTTATTAAGCTTGGAGAGGGGAATCTTAATTTCTGCTGAAGTGTATGGATTTTAAAATAGTACACTGTTAACTATTTTAATACCTGTAAAATGGAGTAGAGTGGCATGGCATCATGATGAAGACAAAAGCTTGTGACTGGTAAGAGTTATTACACAGTTGCTGTATGTGACTCATAACATCAAGAGAGCCTCGTTGGTGAATCAAGCCTGTATACAGGGCTGGGAGTAAGTTTGACAGAAGCAGGAAACCTGCTGCAGATTTCTTCCATGCTTTCAGGTGTTTCAAAGAATATCCTATAGAAACATTTGAGGAAGTTTTAGAGATAAGCAAATACTAACAGTTCCACACAGTATTTTTGAAAGTACCGTAACTTACTGGAAAACCATTACTTGGTTGATAACAATACCTTGCTTTGAGGTATTTTAATACAGTGTTCTTTCAGTCTTTACTCTTTGAATGGAAATGCAAAGGTTAGACTTTGCCCTTATTAACTCTTGGATTTAACAGTGTAAATGTTAAGCCCATACCTGTCTCTTGAAGTACAGAAGTACGATTTCAAAGCCAGCGCTTTGTCTCTTTAGAGCTTGATGTTAATTTCTTGTGGGGAAAAATAGTCCATTCAGTAGTTTGGATGAATGATATGTGGTGACTTACTGATGTGTTCTGATTCATGCATGTCCAAGTAAAGCCAGAATAAATGATAACTACACGTGCTTTGGCACGACTGTGGTATTCTTTTTCTCCAACATGCTGAAAGCTACAGCATTCCCTTATTGGTATTCATTTTTGAGATACTATCCTTGGAAAAGCTTACTCCTCCATCTTTTCCCATCGCC